ATACTTTAAACAATAAAGAATTTAAATTTTAAAAAAATAATGGACGCTGAAACAATCAATATAAACAAGGTCATGTCCTTAGAATACTTCCAGCATAAGCTTGACTCTAGAATTCATTAATTTAATCCTCCTCTTGCCAACCCCTCCCATTCCTTTACTTACTCCCTGGTCTTTCCAGGGCATCCATCTGGAAAATTCCAATCAATCCAACTTCCCTCGCTCTTTTACACACACAGAGGATGCCCATTTAGAGAAAATCACACAGAGGCAGTGAACGGGGCCACTACCAATACCCTGTCTCTAATTTCACTTGGAACTTAACAGTGCGGGGCAGTCCTTCTATTATCCTTTATCAGCTTTTTCTCCTCCTCACCATTCTCTTACCTTCTTTCATCTCCAACCTCTGCAAAAATGGTCAGAAAGAAATAGAAGTCCAGCTTCTTCAATTTTCTATCCTTTTTCCCACATGAAGAACTGTTTACATGCACAACTATCATTTCCTCCAACCCTAAGGGGGCAGGAGTCTGTATCTCCACCCCTTCGCACACACATGCCTCAGCTGTCCCAGTCAGGCGGTCCCCAAATCCTGTATATTCTACTACCAAAAGCAGCTAGCATCAACTTATCTTCCATTGCTACATTGCTTAAACTTCAAGCACTTCTTTTTTTAGATTTCTTCCCTTCCCCCATTCCAACCTCTTTTCCCACGTAATAATCTCTAATAAGTCTGACTCAATTCAAATGACCTGGAATTAAATTCTCACAGATGTCAAAAAAAAGGTAGGAAGAAGTAAAAATTGCCTTAAATTATTCGTGGGGGTAAATCGAAGACGAGAGAGAGAAAGATAGTGAGAGCAAGAGAGAGACAGGGAGAAAGAGAGAAAGGAATACAGGTACTACCCTGTTTCCCCGAAAATAAGACAGTGTCTTATATTAAATTTTTCTCCCAAAGTTGTGCTAGTTCTTATTTTCAGGGGATGTCTTATCTTTCCATGCGCTAGGTCTTATTTTCGGAGGATGTCTTATTTTGAGGAAAACACGGTATTTTGGCCTGTCATGTGAAGATAACTGACATTTTGAGATAATCTTTAGGCTTGCCATTTAACTTCTATACACAAATATTTTAAAAATATATTTTTATTGATATTTTACAAAAGGAAGGGAGAGAAATAGAGAGTTAGAAACATCCATCAGCTGCCTCCTGCACACTCCCTGCTGGGGATGTACCTGCAACCAAGGTACATGCCCTTGACCGGAATCGAACCTGGGACCCTTCAGTCCGCAGGCCGACGCTCTATCCATTGAGCCAAACCAGTTTCAGCCACAATATTTCTATAGGGGGTTCTATTCTGAAAGGATTTCATTCACATTATGTGCAGATACAGTGTTCCCTAAAAGGCTCTTGTTACGTTACCTTTTGGTTTCAAGAGACTGATCTGTCATTTCTAATGTCACAACTCATAGTTTCTACTCATCGCTTAGCCCCGTGGTCGGCAAACTCATTAGTCAAAGAACAAATAATAGTACAACGACTGATATTTCTTTTGAGAGCTGAAAACCAACTTCTGCGCATGGGCCATGAATTTTCAATCACACTGTATATGCATGCCCACACCTGGTATTTTGTGGGAGAGCCACACTCAAGGAGCCAAAGAGCCACATGTTTGCCGACCACTGCCTTAGCCCATTATAGAAAAAAACAAGTCTTAATAGCCTCTCAATTCTGTATGTTTTTAATGAGTTTAACTTCAAACCAGGTACTGTGCCTATTAAGACACCAGAACACAGCTCATCAATAATTAACAATTAGGAGTGCAGTAGTGAGAAAAGGATGGTAATTAACATATATATAGGGATACAAAAGCTACAATGAGCTGGAGAATCATGAGGAATACTTTATGCCCTTCTTAAGGTTAAGAAATGTCTTCTTCCCATTTTCCAGGAGGAAAGATGCACATAGATGTTGATAAATGTTGGCACATAAAGACTTACAGTAGCCTGGCCAGCAGGGCTCAGTGGTTGAGCATTGACCTCTGAACCAGGAGGTCAAGGTTTGATTCCTGGTCAGGGCACATATCCAAGCTCTGGGCTGGATTCCCAGTGTGGGGTTTGCAGGAGGCAGCTGGTCAATGGTTCTCTCTCATCATTGTTGTTTCTCTCTCTCCCTCTCCCTTCCTCTTTGAAATCAATTTTAAAAAAATACAACTTATAGTAGATTGAGGTAGATCACTCTAAATGGGTGAAAAGGAAAAGAAAGGAAAGAGGAGCCTTCATGAATTTACTCTTCATTTTCAACCCAGGGGAAAGGAGAGGTGGAGAGCAAGCAGGTGGTACAGGAAACTTGCCTGTAATGTAAAACTAGCTATGAATACTCCATAAAGGGGGCTGTCCCCATCCCTAAATCTCTCCCTAATGACACATTTTCCCTTCCTCTTCTAATGAGAAGCTCCCTTTCTCAGCTGTTGCAGCATTGTGGGGTATAGTGGGATGGGTTATGGGAAGCAATAACCAGGCCTGGCTTCCCTGTAACAGCTTTTCCCGACTATCTGAGCGACCATTTGTCAAAATCATAAGTGACAAAAATATTAATATGTTATTTCTGTAATATGCAAAGAGAGCATACACACACACACACACACACACACACACACACACACACACACACTAGAGGGCCAGTGCATAAAAATCGTGCATTATGTGCCTCAGCCTGGCCTGCACCTTCTCCAATCTGGGACCCCTTGGGGGATGTCTGACTGCCCTTGAGGGATGTCTGACTGCCAGGTCTGCTGGCTCCTAACCACTTGCCTGCCTGCCTGCCTGACTGCCTGATTACCCCTAACCACTTCTGCCTGTTAGATTGATCACTCTCTAACCCCTCTCCTGCTGACCTGATTGACACCTAACTACTCCCCTGCTGGCCTGATCATCCCCAACTGCCCTCCCCTGCTGGCCTGATCACCCCCAACTGCCCACCCCCAACTGCCCTCCACTGCCAACCTGATTACTCCTAACTGCCCTCCCCTGCTGACTTGGTCGTCCCCAACTGCCCTCCCCTGCAGGCCTGGTTGTCCCCAACTGCCCTCCCCTGCCAGCCATCTTGTGGCAGCCATCTTGTGATGGCATGATGCCACCTAGGCTTTTATTATATAGGATATATATGTGTGTGTGTGTGTGTGTGTGTGTGTGTGTTTTGCCTCCTCCTTTACCTTGATTTTCTCCCCAGATCCTCTTTACCATTCCCTGTAGGGCACAAAAAATAAGTCTAGTTGCCATTACTTCTTGTCAAAAGAGGAAACAGAAAAGTAACTTGATTAGTACAGAGTCTGGACTAGAGCCCAGATCTTAAGAGATGTAAATTGGCACTCTTTTCACAAAGCTGCACTCTCATACTGACTTCCACTCCTCCATTCAACCAGTTCAAAACACTGCCTACATCACATTCCCCTGACACATCTCTCACCTCAAATCTTCCTCTGGCTCCTCTCTCATCTCCACCAGCACTGAAATACTGAGGTTTATCTGCCTACCAACCTCTTTCCTCTCTAAAAACATTCTCCTCTTTGCTTCTCTCTCTCTCTCTCTCTCTCTCTCTCCCTCCCTCTCCCTCTCCCTCTCCCTCTCCCTCTCCCTCTCCCTCTCCCTCTCCCTCTCCCTCTCTCCCTCCCTCTTCCTCTCTCTCCACCCCCCTCTCTCATACACATCATCATCATACTTGTCCTGCCTCACCTGAGCTTTGCACACTGATTTTTAAAAAAATACATTTTATTGATTTTTCACAGAGAGGAAGCGAGAGAGAGATAGAGAGTTAGAAACATCGATAAGAGAGACATTGATTAGCTGCCTCTTGCACACCCCCTACTGGGGATGTGTCCGCAATCAAGTACATGCCCTTGACCGGAATCAAACTCAGGACCTTTCAGTCCGCAGGCAGAAGCTCTATCCACTAAGCCAAACCGGTTTCTGGCTGCACACTGATTTCTATGGAGAGATCATGCCATGAAGTGCAGAGAAATTAGCCTTAAAAAAAATTAATCATATTCAAATACCCATTTTGCCTCTCACAATCTGGGTGACCAGTCACACTACTTAACCTCTCTGTCTCACGTCTATCATCTGCAAATAGGAAATACTGCCCATTTATTGGGTTTTACACTGTGTAGCTGACATATGTAATGTAGTTAACACGGTGCCATGGACTATCAGGCATTTAATAAACGCAGTTATTTACTATAAAAAATAGTATTTATCTCACCGGACTTATTCCTACACGCCTGACACCTAAAGCAGTTTCTCAAAATGTTAGTTCTCCCTCTCCGCATCCTTGAAACAACTTCCTACTTCTTTCTAACAAAGATTCCGAAACTAGTTCCAATCCAACAAAGATTTCCCTAATTCAGATGCAGAAGTATTTGTAGATTTACTAAATTTTCACACATACACACACACACACACTCCATACACCAATAACCCTTACTGAAAGCTACCCAGACATAAGCCTTAAGTCCCTGTTAGAACATAATCACATTTTGCAGGTTCCCCGCCAAAGCCGTGAGAGATCGTGCGGACGGACCCCAGCGCGCCCTCGGGGTGGCAGCTCGGGGCCAGGCGCGCTGCGGTGCCCCGGGCCCAGCGCCCAGCGCCCAGCGCCGGGCGGGGACGGGGAAGTGTTACACCAGGGACACCCCTGAGGTGCGGGGAGGACACTCCACACGACGTCCCCTCAGTCTCGGGGAGAGACGCACGGCGAGGCCTCGCGGTGACGGGGACTGGGCGGGTGACTGTGAACCCGTGTGTCAGTGTCACCGCGTGTGCCTGCCGGTCCCCGCGGCGGGTCAGCGGCGTGTCAGTGTCACCGCGTGTGCCTGCCGCAGCCGCACAGCCGAAAGCACATCCGTGTGCGCGCCGCGACGTCGGAGCGCGAATGTGGATCCCCCTGAACCCGAGGGACCGGCGAAGGGCGACGCCGCGAACCCCCGCAGGACTGTCCTGCAGGTGCTTACCTCTGCGGACGAGCAGGTGGACGCCCCTGGGCGCCGCCATGTTGGCGCGGGTCACGTGGCCGCGCGCTCCCCGCCCCGCCCGCCCCGCCCGCCGGAGCCGTCCGGACGCAGCCCCGCGGGGCCAGGACCGCCCGGGGGAGCGCGCGTGCGCGCGGCGCCCTGACTGCGGGAGCCCCGGCGGCGGCGGAGCGGGTCCGGCCCGGGGCGGCGAGGGAACCCGCGGCCGCCCGCCCGAGCCCCGCTCCCGCCAGGAGAGGCGGGCTCCGGCCGCGGTTCGCGCGCCCGCGCTGCGCCCGGCGTCCAGGTGGGATGGAAGAAGCCGGTCAGGTAAGCGTGGCATCCGGTCTTCGGTGCATCAACGTTGTGGTGCATGGAGACCTGAAGTTGGGAGGAATAATAAATAAATAAAAGCACAATCGAGCGTTCACCTTAGCACTTTGCATTGTTTGCCACTTTAGTTGCGAATTCTTTCCCCGGGTTCAGCTGAAAGGTAAATTTGGTTCAAAGTCGCCAGCTGCCCCTGGGCAGTCCGATAATCTACATTATTCAACGGAGACTCCAAGACATGACAGGATTTGTGTGCAGCTGCAAAAATCTGTTCCGGGTGTGTGTGTAGGGGACTTCTCATTTCCCAAGGACACCCCCCGCTTAGCTGTATTAACGGGAGGCGTAAGCCTGAACTTGACTTTTAAGAATGAGAGCATGACGTCTGCCAATTGCGCTGCTGAAAGATGCAGCCTACAGAAGGCCAATGGTGAGACAAGGGAGGGAGCTGATGTGTCCCTGGTGATGACAGTGCCCGTTTGTCCCAAATTCACTTTTCCTCTTATTTGCGTTCTGGGGCAGATTCCATCCTGTCATGGACCAGGTGTCATTCATCTTGGTAGTCTGGTGCCCAGCAAAGAGCTGATATGCAAGGAGTATCTGGTGAAGGAATTGAACTCTCCACGGAACCTGCCAAACCAAGAATGTAACAGTTTCCCGGACTTTAAATGCAATAAAAATGGATAAGGATTTTTGGTAAATGTGTTTCCTAATTAATTTTTAACGATTTAATTTAATTATACACTCAGTGAAAAATCCAGAGAATTCAGAAATGCAGAGTAAAGGAAAAAGTGCAGTCCCCTTCTTCACCCTGTCTGCACTCCACAATCCCACTCTCCAGATGCAACCCCTTTCCCCTTAGTGTGCATCATTCCAGGCCTTTGAGAGGCAAATATTTGTAAATATTTTAAATGGATTCACAGACTTACTGTTGCAACTTGTTTTTTTCCATTCATCATAAACATCAAACCTCAGAATGCTTAGCTCAAGCTCATTCTTTTTAATGACTACATAGTTCTGATATTTTTTACTTTTAAAGAGAGTGAATTTTGGCCCTGGGAGTTGTGGCTCAGTCTGTTGGAGCTTTGTTCTGTACACCAAAAGGTCACAGGTTAGATTCCCTGTCAGGACACTTTTCCAGGTTGTGGGTTCCATCCTGTCTGCCATGCAGGAAGCAACTGATTGATGTTTCACTCTCACATCAATGTTTCTCTGTGTGTGTCTCTCTCTCCCTCACTGCCTCCCTCCCTCTCTCAAATGTCCTTGGGTGAGGATTAAAAAAAAGAGAGAGAGAATGATTTTTTTTTTTTTTGGCAGTTTGTTGGAGGACACATGCTGTACTCTTTGGTGATCCAGTTTTGGGTGCTTTGGGGCCCCCTTGAAAGACAAAGAGAAATCATGTTTTCCACTGAGATAAATAAGATGTATGGGATGAGAATAAAAAGTACCCCTACCGGTTACTTCAATACTCACCTTTTCCAAATCCAGATCCGTTTCAGAGAGAGATTTTTTGATGATGGTAAACAAAGGAGCCTGAGAGTTAACAGGACACAGAGGCTCAGGAAGTGTGCAGAAAAAAGAAACCCAGGGTCCCTGGTGAAAGGTCAGAAGGCATTAAGCCCAATTTCAAACGTCTGAAACAGAACACATGTTCACATGATGTAGTTCAGCCAACCTGGGGAAAACCATTGCACAATGTGTTCCCCGGCGACTACAGGAACAAGGAAAAGGAAACACTGTGAGGACTCAGGTGGTACCACCCTGGTGGAATCCCCAGTTAGGTCCGTATAGAACGTGGCTGTATAAGATGAGTGAGAAATGAAGCAGGTAGTAACTTGCATAGTTCATCCACAGATTCTTGATTCGGTTTCTTTCATGCCATATCGTTCTGCTATTATAGAAGGATTAAAAGCTGCCAGCATGTGTCCTCCTAAATCACCAATTTACGAGATATATGCATACTGGCCAACAGGATAAAGAGCTAGACCACTGATAATCTGGGACCTCTTGCAATGCTAACATTCTGTGGTCCTGGCTTTCAGGGCATTATGCTTTCATCTAGATGAGTAACCATTAGTGACTCACGACTCCATGTCTGCCCATCTTCCCACCAGTGAAATGAAAACTAATTACATTGTGTTACCTCACTGATTTGAACTCCCTCCATTATTCAGAGTTTGTACTTGGGTTTCCTGAGTAAAAATTGAATAATTTTTCAAAACCAGGGTTCAAGAAATGAAGGATAATTTCTTAACACTTAATTTTTTTGTGTCCAAAAATTCATTCTTCAATGGTAAAATATTTTTATTAATTGTGATTAATAATTGTTTTACAGGCCTTTTACCTTGGTTTTTAAAAGATCATGTCTTGCCCTAGTTGGTTTGGCTCAGTGCATAGAGCATTGGCCTGCGGACTGAAGGGTCCCAGGTTCAATTCCGGTCAAGGGCATGTACCTTGGTTTCGGGAACATCCCCAGTAAGGGGTGTGCAGGAGGCAGCTGATTAATGCTTCTCTCTCCTCGATTTTCTAACTTTTATCCCTCTCCCTTCCTGTCTGTAAAAAAAAAAAAAAAAAAAAACACAATAAAATATTTTTAAAAGAGATCATGTCTTATTAGAATCTTTTAAAAATATCTGTATCGTTTTTATAAAAGAAATATATCAAATACATTCTGATACTTATATTTTTGAAAAGTCAGTCTTACCTTTCTCCTTCTACTTAATATTTTATTATAGATTTATACCATATAACTTTTTTCAAAAGTTGTATATATTTTGTGATAATATTTAAATTATATTGGTCTCTGGAGAGTATTAAGTTAAGTGAAATAAGCCAGGCAATGAAAGAAAAATATCACATGATCTCACTCATTTATGGAAAATAAAGAGCATTATAACCTGATGAACAAAAAGATAGATACAGAGGCAGTAAAGCATTGAACAGACTGTCAACTTACAGCGGGAAGGCTGGGGAGTGTTGGGGAAGAGGGGAAAAAAATCAACAAAGAACTTGTATGCATGCATATAAGCACACCAATGGACACAAGACACTGGAGAGTAGGATGAGGGCATGGGACAGGAGGTAAGGGAGGCTGGGGAAAGGTCAATGGAAAAAAAAAGATATATGTACTACTATATATAATACTTTAAACAATAAAAAATAATAAATAAGTTAGAAAAAATAAATTATATCGGCCTCTGTAATGTATGTATTGAATTTGTAATTCACATTTATATTTTTAAATGCCCTAGGGAATTATGTGACATGTAATCCTTTAAAAATAAATTTTGCTTTGTAATACATTTTATAACTTGTTTTACAAGTTTAAATTTTAAATACTCATTAGGATTACTTATAGTGCAAGATACTTAAAAACATAGTAAGGTACTTACATATCTATAAAAGAAAATTGTTATTTATGAACATGTAAAACTGACTGAAAAAAATGTGTTTTTTACTGGGCACAGAGCAGATTCTATGTACTCTAGCCTTCATTTATCATTGCTGAGCTTGCCATCAGTTTGGCCATATGAATCAGAAAAAGTAGCTTTTTTTAAATTTGATTTCAGGATCCTTTCTTAGCATTTTATGCTATAGCTTGAGAAGAGTATTTCCAAAACTGCCCTCTAGTTTGTCAAAGTTTTAGTATGAGGAAATATTTTTACTTACTTACATGTCTTAAGTCAAATATTCTCTCTAGGAACTAGGAGTTCTGCATAAATATAATCTGCATACAACAGGGACCCCTCTTGGTAGCTGAGCGGACCCCTTTAAAGTTAGGGCCCGGCTTCAAATGATTATACATTCAAAGCAAAAAGTTTCTAGGGCACTCTTTCAGCCAACTTGTATGCAGAATGTCATTTCCAATAGCAGTCATTTGAGACAATAAGGATATGTTACTGGTAATCTAGGGATGTCCTTAGAAAAAAAGTGTATAAATGCTCCATGTTTGTTTTTGTGGTTTTTTTTTTTTTTTTTTTTTTTTTTTTTTTTTTTTTTAGGAAAACTAATGCTATACCAAGGCAGTCGTGAAATCATGTGGATTTCTTTCCTGGATTTGTGGTTGCCTAGAAGGACCCCTGCCTGATCAGGGCATAGGGGATTTAGTTGTATGTGACCCTCATGTCCCTCCCATTTTTTGTCTAATGACATTTTCTCAAGTGAACGTTAAGTCCCACTCCCTTCTACCAAGATTGCTCTACTTGAGCCCCTCCTATATTAAATCAGAAGATTTCAGGGATCTATAGCCTAATGCATAGACCTAATCCAAACTGACAGTCTGTCATGTAAGCAGAGTGGAATGGGACCGGACAGGGCTAACACTGTCCCAAGGGAGTCGTTCTCAAGACCAGCCTGGCTCATTTATTTTTTCAAGCTGGTTCAACCCCTGAGCTTTAAATATATGGGAGGTTGTAAGGCAGAAATCATGCTGCAGCAACAGCCTAGTCACTGTTGGAGCAGTTGCCCACCTGGAATGGTTGGCAGGGATCGAGGGAGGGAAGGTATGGGAAGGTTATTGGGAAAAGGAGGTGGATAATCCCAAACACTGCTTGCTTTAGTCGGAGATGGCTTGGAAACTGTACAGGCTTGAGGGTCAAGGCTTCCCTGACCTCATCTCTTGGAACTGGCTCTGCGGGAAGCTGGATTAAAGCAGAAGTGTGCATTTGCCCCATGAAATTTAAATAAGAATGAATACCATTAGCCACTGCCATCTATTCTCCGTTAGTAATCCCTGGGAAAGTAGCACCTGCTTATATACTTCTGGAGAATGAACAACCTATTCAGAGTAAAGAAGAACGGCAGAAAGTTTCCAAAAGAAGCTAGTGATCAATCAGCCAATCAATAAATAACTTAAGTGTCCACACTAGGCTCCAAGGAGATATGATACTATTTTTGTTGGAACTAATATGAAACTAATTGGAAAACTCAGATTGATATGCTCATAAGATTGCCCATAGAGAAAAACTGAATACCCTTGAGTCAAAAACTGCATGGCAGCAATGCCAAGAGGGAGCGGGGGTCACAGATTCTATCTCTGGCTGCTGAGAACTGAGAAAAATGCTGAACTCTAATTATATAAGTTCCCAGGAAATTGCACCTGTTTAATCTCCTCTACTTTCTGCAAAGATGAAGGTGAGAGAAAGGGAAATGTGTTTTTTTTTTTAAGCATCTTCCATACACACTTACAAAAGAAGAGAAAGGAAAAGGCTCTCTCTTATTGGAATTATTTTTAAAGTGTTTTGGTTTTTCTTTTCTGTTTACACATGTCTGTAATATGTGCTCTTTAAAACATTTTGCCATGGCTGGGTGGTTCAGTGGGTTGGAACTTCATCCCTTACACCCAAAGGTTGTGGGTTCAATTCCTGATCAGAGCACATACCTAGGTTACAGGTTTGATTCCTGGTCAGAACACATAGGTGAGGCAAAAAGATCAATGTTTCTCTCGTTGATGTTTCTCTTTCCCTTTCTCTAGAATCTATAAAAACATATCCTCGGGTGAGGATTTAAAAAACACACAAACATTTTAAAAATACTGAAATGTATAATACAAAAATAGAGCTTCCTCATCCCCCCTAAAAAAGCTCCCTCCAGGCAATCACTGTTCACAAGTTGATGTATATTGATCCAGATTTTTTAATACATATACCATTTGTTGGACTTTCTAAGGGAAGGTATCTCTTTGTACC